AAAGGTGTTTTTTAATAATATGATTATTTTTAATGCAAACTGTACCAGATGTGATCTAGTTAGTTAGTGGAAACACTGGCCACCCATGGGCGATTTCTTGGACACCCACCCTGGGCATCTCGGGCTGGGATTTTCATGCTTGCTACTGAGAAGGGATAAGAAAGAGAGAGAGAGCAAGTTTACACAAGCCTCCTTAGGGACAAATATTCAAGGAAATAAAAGTAAATGTGTGAAATTACTTTAAAATTTGACTTTTTCTGGATTTTGCAAGGAATGATTTGAGATGAGATAAAACAGGAAGACAAGGATGAAATGTATACTCATCAAATAAGCAGCTATGAAAAGCTCCCAATGGATAGAGCTCTTTTAAATGATATTATCCTTTTTTTTTTTGGCTGATTATCAAAGAATTATACATTTATTTTAGATATTCTGGAAAAATGCAATAACAAGAATAAAAATAATCCATAATCTTACCACTCAAAAACTAGCACCATTTTCTCTTTATTTATGGATGAATGGATAAAGAAAATGTGGTATTTGTACACAATGGAATATTATTTATATTAATGATATTTATATTAATTATTATATTAATTATAGTATATATAAACAATGAAGTCCTGGGCTGGGGTTGTGGCTCAATGATAGAGTGCTGGCCTAGCATGCATGAGGTACTGGATTTGATTCTCAGCACCACATATAAATAACCTTTATAAATAAGTAAAAGGTCTATCAACAACTAAAAAATTTATATAAAAAGAGATGGCCAAGCCGTTAAATTATCTTTTTAAAAAAGAAGTCCTGTCATTTGCCACAATACAGATGGACATTTGTTTATTCAGTTTCAGGAGGTGCTGAAATTGAACCCAGGGCCTCACACACACCAGGCAAGCACCCTACCACTGAGCACCACCCAGCCCTCATATTATTTTTAAAAACATGCTTCATCTTCATGAATCGGAGCAACGCTTTCGAATACGGCAGTGAAATCCTCGTATCTGCGACACCCAGGATTTCAAGGCTGGAAAGCAAAATCCAGGGGACATTTGATTTCCCTGCAAGGTCTGTGGACCACAATGGTGGCATTTGTGAGTTTTTTGGCCAAGTGCCCCTGGGTACGGCATTCATTCTAAGCACTCGGATTGTTTTCATCAGTAAATGCCACCATTTGACGATTCCGTTGAAAATGGAATCATGAGCAAAGCAGGCTGTGGGACATCAGGGGTCTAGCCCCGAAGAGAGAAAAGGGAAACAAAACGACCCTTATCTTCTGAGCCACGTGACAAGCACTCGCTTATCCCACCCGGTACCACTCCAATTCTGAAGCAAAGTCAGAGAGCAAGGCTCATCAAAGGATCCTGAATATCTGGAGACCCCGGGGACAGCAAGTGCTCAACCCAGAACCCCGTCGTCAGTTCAAGTGGTTTGTCCCTAAGGAGTCATGTGCTGGAGGCTTGGTCCTCAGTTTGATAGTATAGGGGTGGTGGGACCTTTAAGAGGCGGAGCCTAGTAGGACCTCCTTAAACCATTGGGGAGGCTGTTCTCAGAAAGGATTAAGGTAGTTCTCAGGGGACCCCTTGGTGAGTTGAGCAAGAGAGTTGTTATAAAAGGAATAAACCTGAACCTTCCCCTTGCTCTGGATTCCTGTCTGGAAATAGGATCTTTCCCCAAATGCCTGGCTCTTGAACCTCCAGAACTGTGAGCTAAACAAACCTCTTTTCTTTATAAAGTTATCCAGGCTCAGGGTATTGCATTATAATAGTGCAAAACACACAATTGCATTGGACTTTTGAGTGATTCTCAACAGTAGGAACACGAACACATGATTGCAATCATAAATATAGTCAGCAAATCTTTTATCAACAAGGCATTATGGGAGGTATCTAGTCTCTAGGAATTTATAATCACTTCAGAAATGAATTACAGAAACAGTGAACAAGGCAACTGTTTTGGACTCAGTGACTGAACTTTTAAGCAGCTTTTAAGTAGATGCTAATAAAAGTATGATTAATTTGGAAGGGACTTAGTGTCAAAAGTTCTGATGGTAAAAATATGTGCACTTTGACTTTTTAAAAAAAATACTTCAATATAAAAAATGCTTATTTTCAAGTCAAAAGATAAGGTGAAATAGTGGAGGTTGACTGGAGGAACATGTTCACATTTTTACCTGGCATAAGGGGTTTTGATACACACACACACACACACACACACACACACACACACACTCACACACACACACACACTCACACACACACACACTGGCCTATTCAGATTCCCTGGGCTTTAAAACTCAGCCATACCCAACATAGAAATAAGGAAATATGTCTTTAAACAACATAAATTGTGATTTCCAGGACAGAAATGCAAATGTAATTGAGCCTTGAAAAGGTAAAAAAAATAATTTGTTTTAAATCTGGAGGTTGGGGAAGGGATAGTGGGATAAATGGTAACAGTTCTCACTTTCCCCATTTTCGTACTGTGATTCTGCCTAAGGGTGGCACCTTTGGTACAAGCAAGCCTCCAACTTAAAAAATGTATGTATCTGTATACACACATATATATTTCAATAAAATAATCTCTCTCAAGAAGAAACTTTGCTTGAAATACAGCAATTCTGTTTCTCTTTGGTCTTTCTTTCTTTCAATTTAAGCCAAATTTGTTTTATAAAATAGATCATCTAAGTTTTTAAGAACACATTAACTTGCCAGGCACGGCAGCTCACACCTGTCATCCCAGTGGGTAGGGACCCTCCTGCCTCAGGGTCTCCCTGAGTGGCTCAGGGCCTCACTTTTGCTGAGGCTGGCTTTGAACTCACGATCCTCCTGTCTCAGCCTCCCAAGCAGCTGGGATTACAGGCGTGCACCACCATGCCCAGCCTAAAACTAGTGACTTTTGATGTGGTGGTGGTTCTAGGAATCCACAGAGAGGAGACCCTGGCTCGGAGCTATTCACACCTAGGCCTATTCACACCTAGGTAACCACTGAGGAATACGGAGGAAAGAGTGCGTCGGTGGGACCTCTTTGTACCATTTATGCAACTTTCATGGGTCTGTCATTTTAAAATTAAAATATTTTAAATCACCTAGTGCATTTTAACTCATGTGACAAAGCCATAAAAATATATCTGAAGCATGGCCAAGAGCTCACTGGGAGCCTGGCAGAAGTCCCCTTCTACACACATGGTTGGAAGCCTTGGGTCCCTTCCCTGCCGACAGGGAACTTACCAATTTCTGACCAAGACCAAGGAACTTGGAGAAAAGAGGCGATTGCCCAGATGATTTGTATAAAGGGAGCTCGTGAACAAATCACCCACGAAGCAAATACGCCAACCCGCCATCGGTGACCACGGAGCGGCCTCAAACAAGGGCACAGCTGTGCAGCCTCCGGTACCAGTCTCTGGGAGCCAGGCTGCTTTTCAAGGTTGGTGTGTGCAGCCCGCCCCTCCAGAAAGGATCTACGTGGTTTGCCCTGGGTAGGACGAGGCAGGACAGACAGCCCCGCTGAAGCTCCAGGGCCTCAAGGGATCTGGGCTGGAAGTGATCAACATAGGATTTGCCAGATTTTGCAGATCCTCCAAAGGAAGGCTGGGAATTCAGACAGAAGGAGAGCGTCCTTCCTTCCTTCTTTATTTATTCACTTGTTTTTGTTAGGATGACCACGCACAGATGACTCGGCACATTGACTTCAACGTGGATTTCACGTAGCCACGACCATAAGAAATGCCACTTGCCCAGAGAAACACCTCCCCCGCAGCATTCCCTCTGCAGGTCTGGGGACAGCGGATATCCGTCTCTTGGGATCCACAGACACTCTTCAGCCCCCGAGGCAAGCTTTCCAGAGTCATCCCTGGGTGACAGGATGCAGCCTTGGAAAACCAAGCCAGGGCTTTGTTCCGGGTGTCCGGGTACCTGTCCGTCAAGGACAGTGCCTTTGTGCGTGACCAGTTGCCGAGGCAACAGGACTGGGTGCTATAGAAATGGATCATTGGCTGAATGGATCGGTGACAGGTGGTAGCTAGAGTTTCCTTGTGGCTCACGAAGCCTCTGTGGATGGCTACTAAATCATTCCACCCGCAGATATGGACGTTTCTGTAACCCTTTCAGCTAAGGAGAAACCATCCATCAACACACGGTGCTTTCTAGATAGATAACACATTGAGATCGGTCTTTTTTTTTTTTTTTTTTAATTGTCCTTGTGAGTCTCTATGCCTGTAATTAACTTCTAGAAAAAGGTCAGTTTGGGCTGAAGTTCTGCCTTCCCTCTCCCCCGGGGGAGAACCTTCTCCTTGTCCACTTAAACTCTTACCTGGACGATTTGATGTCACTGCCATTTGAAAGTAAACAGAATGTATCCGAGGGACTAAAGAAATGTTGCTCATAGACTTACAGGTTCAGGCAGATATCACCTAGGATTTTCTTCCACGTCAGCTCACTATAACTTAAAGCTTTACCTGCACTAACCCAGTGACCGCCAGCCACATGTGGCTGCTTAAATGAACAAGGACTCAGCAAAACTCAGGGCCTCCGGTGTGCTAGCCCTGTTCCCAACAGGCTGTCCTCACACATGGCCCGCTGACCCCTGTAACATAGACCATTTCTATCATCACAGAGTGTGTTACTGGAGACCTGGCTGCTCTAGAACAATCTGAAACCAGTGGGCAACACCCGCCCCCCGCCCCGCACACACACACAACACACACAACACACAACACACACACAACACACACAACACACAGAACACACAAACACATACAACACACACACACAACACACACAACACACACACAACACACACATAACACACAACACACAACACACACACAACACACACACAATCCTACTTTCTCCCAACCTACAACAACCTCCTCCATCATCTTAAATAAAAATGTCCACCAAACAAGTTCAGAGTGTTGTCTGCACGTCTCTCCATGCCCACTGGAGGCCCAGGTGACTGTCACTTAGACCCAGTAGAGAGGTCAGTCCCTGCAAATCCATTACCTTGGGGTCCATTGTGCGAGGGTGGGGGGAGAAAGTCAGGAACAGCGACTGGCTCAGGTCACTCCAAGCTGGCTTCCCACTGTGATCCGCGACAGATGAGGCTCAGCATCCAGGTCTGAGGCCACTCAGGTCTGAGGCGATTCTAGCCGGCTGGGCGGAGCGGAGTTAATAATTCACAGCGGGAGGTGGGGACGCTCCACCTGTGGGTGCAGGGGCCACCTGGGAGAACTGGAAACCAGACCTCCCTTGAGATTCTGTTACAGCCACTGCTGATCTTTGATTAGTCCTTCTCCTCGGGGACACAGGGGATACGGGCAGGACCCTCGGCCAGCCACGCTCAAGAGGAAACCTTCTCCCAGCCTCTTCCAATCCTCAGACTCCAGGGCATTTAAAGTTGATGGGGAAATTTCAAGATCCATACTACAAAAACTCTGGGTCTCCCAGGTTGCTTTTATTTTCATTTTAGACTTGTTGACGTTCAGATGCAAAAGTAATGCATATGCATTTATGCTCTTGGTAAAAGATCATAACATTGTGGGTATCAGAGGTCAGTTCAGATGGGTTTTCTTTGAAGTGCAGGGTCTGCTCCGTCCAGCCTGGACCTATATTTGGTATTTACAAAGTTGTATTCTTTTTATTTGAAAGACACTGTATAAGCCACAGGCCCCCCAAATCGGAGTCTGCAGTAGGCTGAGAGCATTCACGTTCATGTTTGCTTATCACGTTCTGCAATGGGGTTTTTTCTTTTTTTTGGTGGGGAGGGGGTACCAGGGATTGAACTCAGGGGCACTCGACCCACAATGACCCACATCCCCAGCCCTATTTTGTATCTTATTTAGAGACAGGGTCTCACTGAGTTGCTTAGTACATTGTTTTTGTTGAGGCTGGCTTTGAACTCCTCCTCCTTTGATCCTCCTGCCTCAGCCTCCAGAGCTGCTGGGATGACAGGCGTGTGCCATCACACCTGACTCTTTTTGAGTTTTTTCTTAAGTCAAAGGGGCTTTTATTGAAATTTGCTTTCCCTTGATACTTCATCCTGGTGCCCTAACGTCCACCCCTGGACAGCCCCGTGTCCCTCCACTCAGTCCTGGGATGGTGACCTGCAGGTGTCAACCTGTCTGGATCCACGGGTACCCAGGCAGCTGGTCAAGTGTCGTGTCTATGAGGGCATTTCTGGAGGAGACTGGCATTCGATCGATCATCAGAAAGAGGAGGAAGGTCTGCCCTCCACCCCTGGGGGCACCATCTCCTGGGCAGAGGGCAGGAAAGGGAGTCCCCTCCTCTCCCCTGGGGCTGGGAGGCCTCTCTTCTGCTCTTGGACATGACGAGTCCAGGTTCCCCGGACTTTGGCTATCAGAACCGGAACCAGCAGCCCCCAGGTGCCCAGGCTTGGGGCTTGGACTGAGCTACACAACTGTTTCTCTGGTTCTCCAGTTTGGATGATCACAGAAACCCATAAATCTTCTTTCCTCCCTTTCTCTACACCCACATCCTATGGGTTCTGCCTCTCTGGAGGTTCCTATTCCACGTTCCGGCCGACAACAGCAGAAACAGGTTCACAATTCTTTGAAAACTCTAATTTTTAACCAGCAAAAATTTACGTAGACATGATTCTACTTTTGGAACTGGATCGTGATAACAGGTATCGCCAACTTGGTTACAAAGGAAAAACCAGAGCCGTCATCACTGGGAAGGCTTTATCTCCTCCTGTGGTGATGGGTGAGATGAATCACCTGAGGACCTCGCATTTATCTCATCCCCACAGTCTGCCTGGTGTCTTAGACCCTGTAGATACCAGAGGGAATAAGAAAGATGAAATGATTTTTATACTATTATTTATCTTTTTGTGTTTCCGATATGTGTATATTTCAATGGAAGTATATTTCCCACATTCATGGAATTCGCCTATTTAGAAAGCATGCAGTTCAGTGGATTCTTCTTTAATCTATGCACGAGGCTGTGCAATCATGACCACAGTCGCATTCTAGAATATTTCCGCCATCATCCCCACAAGTGCAGGCCTGTCGGTCATCAGTCCCTCCCAATTTCCCACCGTGAATCTACTTTCTGTCTCCACAGACCTCACACCTTTCAGCTCCTGAGGGACCAATCCCGTGAGATGTCCTGCTGGTGGTCACCTGCGGCTCCCCCTAGGTCCCATCTGGCACCGCCCTCTCCCCTCCCCCATCTTGACATTTTCTCATTTTTCCACCTGCCTTCCACGTCAAAATGCATGTGACAGGCACCGACCCCCTGCCCCAGCAACTTGACAGCGTTTGCTTGTTCTCACCTGGCTGGCCTTCATCTATGTCCACGAGGCTGCCACTCAGCTGTGTCACCTAATTTCTGCCGAAGTGGAAATCCCAACGTTCTTACTTGACGTAACAAACATGCATGATGAATCCTCTAGTGAAGGGGTCTTCGTGGGAATTCTCCGACCGTGGAGACGTTGGAAAGTTGCAGGAATCGATCTGAAAAAACACAGGCGATATTAGCACTTTTGGATTGTGTGGTAGAGAGGAGTTTTTATGAATCTCTACCCAGTGTGTCCTTATGTTAGAGAACATCCCCAGCTGTTTGCATAATAGTTGCTTCATATCTAAGATCAGTACCGATAAAATCATTGACAGATTTTGCAGAAGAGTTAAAAAACAAACTATGGTAACTGGTATATCTTCTTAACTTTTGTCAAAAATGAATTAATGTAGCCGGGTGCAGTGGTGCACACCTGTCATCCCAGCAGCCCAGGAGGCTGAGGCAGGAGGATTGTGAGTTCAAAGCCAGCCTCAGCAACTTAGTGAGGCACTTAGCAACTCAGTGAGACCCGGACTGTAAATAAAATACAAAATAGGGCTGGGGATCTGGCCCAGTGGTTAAGTACCCGGGTTCAATCCCAGGTACCAACAAATCAATCAATAAATAAATATTGATCTAATTGAAAAGGGCCAATTCTTTACCACCACCACCCATACTTTGCACTATAATGTTTATTTCAGTTTTGAATTTTTTCCACTGGCATGGTTTTTATTAATGGAGAGCTCAATAAAACACTGCCCTCTCTCCTTTCTTATCTGGCTATCATTGCTCCTCCTTTCACTTCACCATTATCTCTGAAGACAACTTGTTGTAGAGAGGACTGGTGTGTTGTAAGAAGTAGCCTGTTGCACATGTTGAGCACTGCAGCTCCACCGCTGTGGGCCTAACGTTCTTTTTCACGGCCCTGTAAGACCTCATTGTATGAATTCACCACAAAACATGGAGCCAGGCCCTGGAAGTATTGTCTAGGTTATTTTGAGCTTCTTGCTACTATGATGCTCTAATCTCACTCTGCAGCATACGTATTTGACAGAGTGCAGGATGCCGAATTTCTAAAAGTGGAAATTCTGAATCAAATTTTATGTGCATTTAATCAGCTTACTATAGTGAGATGGTCACATCAATGTTTATAGCAGCTCAATTGACAATGGCCAAACTATGGAACCAACCTAGGTGCCCTTCAACAGATGCATGGATAAAGAAAAGGTGGTTTATATACACAAAAAGAGAAATGAAAATATGGCATTTGCTGGTAAATGGATGGGACTGGAGACTATCGTTGTAAGTGAAATAAGCCAGTCCCCCAAATCCAAGGCTGAATGTTCTCTCTGATTTGCGGGTGCTGACTCACAATGAGGGGGTGGGGGCGGTAAGGAAGAACAGAAGTCCTTTGGATTAGACAAAGGGGAATCAAGGGAAGGGAGGGGGAACGGGAAAGATAGTGGAATGAGTCAGATGTTGCTTTCCTACGTTTATATATGAATACACGGTCATACATGACCGACGTATCTCGTATCTCCACATCAGGCACGACCAGAAGAACAGGCAGTTCTACTCCTGTGTGTACCATGTGTCAAGGTGCATTCCACTGTCATGCATAGCTAAAAAGAATTCTTAATTTTGTGTGCATTTAATATTTTGCTAAACACTGTCAGAAAGTCCACCAAAAGATGTACAAATTTACGCTCTCAGTTCTATACTTACTTTGTTCTATACTTACTTTGTATCATCAAAAGCCTGGAGAGCTGTCCATCTAATGGAGATAAAGTAGGGCTTCCTGAATCTTGAGAAAGGTTAGTTACATTTAAGCCCATCTGAATTTCTTCACCACTATTTCTTCTTCATCTCCCTTTCTTCTTCTCTCCTCTTTCCCTTCCTCTTTTGGGACTATTGTTTCCCAAATTATTCCTAAGAGCTCTTTATATACTAAGGAAATTGGTCTTTTGCTGTATATTGCAAATAAGGCTCCCAGGTGGTTTCTTGTCCTTTGACATCATATAGGATCTTTCGGGAAAAAAAAATTGATTCGTTAAACCAAATTTCAATCAAAAAGACTTACACAAGTCTTTTTCCATAAGGGTTTCTAGGCTGGTGTTTTGTTCAGCCAGGTCTTTGATTTGGCAATACACAGGACTTTTACGTGAGAACAATGGCCCCAGGTGGAAAGGTTGATTTATTAATAGGAAGTGCTCCTTTGCCCCTCAAAACTTAGATATGAAGCCATAAGTTCATGAACAGATCAGCCTCCTATGGAAAAATACAAAGAATTCTGAAGGCCACCTATAAACATTAGCATCCTGACAGTTCACTGCTGTCCACTAAAAGGAGAATTTTTTATCCAGTTCACTTCAAGAAATGGGGGAAGGGGACAGGGGAAGGGGACTGAGAGCCTGCTTCTTGACTCAGTGGCTTGGGGAAGTGGAATCCTGCTAAGGCTCTGTTTTTATATTTGTGAAACGGGAATAAATGATCTCAGGGTTGGCTTTGGATGACACGATGTTATTAGCCCATGGAGTCCAGCTCACCATAACAGCGCTGGGTAGAACCAGGGAGGGTGCCAGCTCTTCCCATTTAATAAGCAACTGCTGTGTAGGAGGTGAGAGGCACCAACACCCACCCAGGAGAGCACTGCAATCCGAGCAGGTGCGGGATCCATTTGGAGACCTTCACACAGGATAGGATATCTGAGATGGCCCTTGTGAGGCTGGCATGAAAAATGCTCTCCAGGCAGAGGGGATTTTAGAAATGGCAGAAAAATCAGTAAAGTGTTTAGATGTGGGTACCTCCAAGTGACAGGTCAGTTGTAGTCGGTCTGATCTGGTCTTCTGTAATATCCTTCAGGAATAAATAATATATCTGTCTTATTGAAAAAAAAAATGGGATTCAGCGGGGCACGTCCCCCTTCTGTGTAGGAGTGGAATCCTTCCTGTTAGATGGGCACCTTGCTGCCCAGTAGGAACTACATCACCCAACATCCCTTGCGGCGAGGGAGACCATGTGACTGGGTTCTCTCCAATGGGACAGGAGCACATTCCGTTCTCCCTCCTGTTTGGTTTCTACCCCTCATTTCCTGCCCCTCCCATGGCTGGAGGGTTCCACCGATTCCTGGGACCTGGTTTTCCTTGGAAGCCTGTGACCCCCAAACTCCTGAGAAATCTTCAGATCTTGGAGCTACTGTAGATCCGCTCAATTATGAAAATGACCTTATTTTGATCCAGGTCCCAGGACACGTTGAGCCGCCTGCTGTATTTTCAGAGTAGATAAAACCCAGGAGATGAGTTTTAGGAAACGGTTGGTAGAGGCCCATTCTGGACATGATGTCACAGAGGAGAGGACCTGAAGCCACCGCAGCCTGCCATCCTCCCTCCGAGCACTGGGCGTAGCAGGCTGAGGTCACCCCTCAGTCCTCCCACGCCCACCCCTCACGAAGTCCCCGTCAAAGGAGCCCGACACCCCCCATCTGCAGCCACTCACTGCCCATGAGTTTACGTGACAGTCAGGAAGTGCCATGTTTTACTTACAGATTTTAAAAATTAAAAGGATTTCAGACGAAAGGATGAGGTACCCAGAAAACCTAAGAGAAACCCAATGACCACCCTAATCTTGTATTCAGCAAAGTGGTTGAATACAAGATAAATACATGACGCAATATTTGCATATATATATTTACACATTTTTTTTTTCCTAACAGAAGAAAATCTCATCAAGAAAGGCAATAAAGGGCTGGGGTTGTAGCTCAGCAGTAGAGCGCTTGCCTACCACAGGTGATGCACTGGGTTTGATCCTTAGCACCATGTAAAAAATAAATAAACGAATAAACAATAAAGGTTTGATTCTTTACAAAAAAGAAATCTAAAAAAAGAAAGGCAAGTTGAGGTGCGGTGGCACACACCTGTCATCCCAGTGGCTCAGGAGGCTGAGGCAGGAGGATTGTGAGTTCAAAGCCAGCCGCAGCAAAATTGAGGTCCTAAGCAACTCAGTGAGACCCTGTCTCTAAATAAAATATAAAGTAGGGCTGGGGATGGGGCTCAGTGGTCAAACTTCCCCCAAATTCAATCTCTGGTATCCAAAACAAAATTTAAAAATTTTTATATACATATGCAAATAAAGAAAGGCAATGAAATATCTACTGCTCACATTAAGAAGAAATACACATAAGCCTTACAAGGAAAAACTCAGAACCTTCCTGATGGAAAGACTGAAACTTGTAAAGATGTCAATTTTCCAGTTGATATTTAAATTTAATGCAACTACAATTCATTGGTTATTACATATTTGAAAATTGACAAAATACTGTTAGTTTTTTTTTTTAATAAAAAGACGTAGGAGATAGCAATCAACAGTTTAAGAAAGCTTGGAAAGTATACATGCAACTCAGAAAATATCTGGCTAAGTCACAAAATCAGCAGTTTTTAGTCACCTGTAAAGTGTCATGAAACCTGTTTGGGGGGGGGGGAGCCTGCGTTAGGCTTTTTTCTCCCCGTTTTTGCACCCGGTTTCTGCACGTGATACAAGAAACCAGGAGGAGCAGGTGGGGCTCACCAATGGCCTTGATAGGTTTTTTTGAAAAAAAAAAGTGATAATATCTAAGGAAAAGGCTAGGGTGTGCCCCGCCTGGATATTAAAACTCCTCTAGGTTCCAAAATTCCCTGTGCTTTTCTGTAAGGCCCACCCCCTGGATGGAGGGGCCCCCTGGAGTGTGCAAGTTGAAGGAGTGAATCCAGGGTGTGGAATCCAACTCTGATGCCTGGTGAGGAATCCACCGCGGGGCCAGGCGGGCACGGGCTGCCCTTTCTGTGTGGATGGTGCGAATGGTCCAGGTGACCTCGAGGGACCTAGAGAAGCCACGTGGGCTCCCGCACATCAGCATTCACATGCCTTTGGAAACCTCCCTCTGGATAAGTGGGTGTTCAGTCCATCTCAATAAACCTATTACATAATCGAGACCTTGAGGAACCAGAGAATAAAGGCGGGTTCTGACCCTAAACTCAAGCGACTCATCTCACTCTTTCCACCATCACCCCAGCTCTGATGGATCCAGCCGGAAGGGAGGGAGGAGAGCGCAGTAACAGGGGATTTGGGGAATATAGGATCTGGGAAGAAAAAAGCATGACCCGAGCATTCAAGGGCAGGAGGGGACAAAAGGTGTGGCTGGGACGGAAGCCAAGGTGCCCAGACCTGGAGAGGCCAGTCCTGTGTCCCCCTCACCCAGGAGCACAGCCTGTTACCCAACCTGTCATAAGATTGGTTTCCTCCTAATGCGGACACCTGGCTATCGGGCTCAAACATCTCCCTAATACAAACACAGTGGACGTGGATGGCTTACCATTCCGCCCCAATGTCCCCTTTGCTGGCCCCAACAATGTCCTAGTTACACATCTGCATGGAAGAGATTCTGCTCCTTCTGTGCCGGGCTCAGCCTCCACAACAGTCTCTCCCATGGGCAAAGGACTCAAAAGGGACAGTTAAAAATAAGGAGACCTTCTCAGAGCCTCCAGGACAGGAGTAACCAGCCATGATCCCTTCCTTCCTTTTGTTGGTGAAGTATAAGAATAGGAGGCCTGGGACTCTTAGAGCCACTGATGCTACCAGGAGGGGAACCAGCCTAAGAATGAAGCCTACACACAGAGGAGGGCAGAGCTGAAATCAAGGGGGCCTGATGCCATTGTGGGAAATGCTGGATCAGTCTGTGCCTGAAGCCCATTCTAACGCTAAGATTTTCAATAATATAAACCTGATTGCAAAGGAAAACCTGATAAAATGGGCAACACCTGTCTCTTTAGGTAAGCTAACATTTCTCAGCTGAAACTACTTTAGTCTACTCAAGAATAAAGAAAAGTGCTGGGGATGTGGCTCAAGCGGTAGTACGCTCGCCTGGCATGCGGGCGGCCCGGGTTCGATCCTCAGCACCACATACAAACAAAGATGTTGTGTCCACTGAAAACTGAAAAAAAAATATCAAAAAAATTCTCTCTCTCTCTCTCTCTCTCTCTCTCTCAAAAATAAATAAATAAAAAATAAAGAAAATGCTCTGGGTCCATGGATTTGGAGATATTTTGAGATGCCAAGTGGGTGTACTATGAGTTCAAGGGTGTCCAACCACAGACTTTCTGTGCTTTGCCTCTTTAACTAGCTTGTACCCACCTGTAAATATGCAAATTTAGTAACCTGGGTCACTAGCAGCTCTTGGGGTGTGAACAGATATTTTATTTACTTTTTTGTGGCCCTGGATTGAACCCAGGGGTGCTCTACCACTGAGACAGCATCTCACTAAGTTGTTGAGGCTGGCCTTGAACTTGCGATCCTCCTGCCTGAGCCTTCGGGGTCACTGGGATTATGGGTACGTGCCACTGTGCCCCAGACATCTTAATGACAGATCCCACTTCTCTGAGACTCTCTCCCTCTGATCTGGGGAGAGTGGGAGTGGGAAAGAAATACAGCCATCTCTTCAGTGTGTGTCTTGAGGACTTACTCATATATTGGGATTTGGGCAACAATATGTTTTCTAATTCCATCAAATAGGTTCCATCTATCACATCCTCAGGAAAACCTCCCTTGACTCTTCGCACACTCAGCCTCGGGACCTCCCACCATATGAGCTGCTTCTTGGTAGCATTTGCTACGAAGAGCTTGCTGGTGAGTGGCATAGCTCTTGGTTTAGGATCCTCTCCTGGTGCCTCACGATCCATCCCACACAGGGCACGGGGAGCACACCTGTCATCCCAGTGGCTCGGGAGGCTGAGGCAGGAGGATCCCAAGATCCAAGCCAGCCTCCGCAACTTAGTGAGGCCCCAAGCAACTCAGCAAGGCCCTGTCTCTAAATAAAATACAAAACAGGGCTGCGGATGGGGCTCAGTGTTTAAGCACCCCTGGGATCCATCCCTGATACCAAAAGAAAAAGATCCGTCTTGTACGGTTGACCCAAGAAGAGCTTAGATGCAACTAGTTATTGTTTCCAAATAAGCAAACTGTGTTCTCGGTCCTTTAGCAAGTAGGCAAGAATCCTATGGCATAGGGTTTTCTTTACAGGAAAAATATTCCTTTAGCTACGTGGACAGAGAGGACTTTGAAGAAAAATTAAGCGCCATTCAAATTGCCTGATACCAAAAATCACCTGAAGTCCACGGCTGTGGGATTTCTGAATTTCTCTAGTAGATGCACATCCACTAAGACACACGCAAGGGTGAAGGTCAACCTGTGTGGGGACTTGGCTCAGAGCGAATGTGATGTGCTGGACATGGTCAAAGCCCGTTCCATGCATGTCCCAAGATGCCACAAAGAAACCACGATGCTGTGTCATAAAGAGGCACTAACTGAAAAAAGAATAGGAAAAAATTCAACAGATGTGGTACTGAAAGAGCTACAGGGAGCAAAAACCCTTTGCAGAGGTCTGACTCCGGGAACACATCTGTACCACGCATCCCGGCCTGCGTGACACAGAAGCCACGTTTTTAAAGGGTGGAAGCTAAAAAGTTGAGGTCATCAGAGAGAAAAAGAGGCTGAGAGGGTACAGGGGCAGGGCGGGGAGATGGTCCTGGGAATAGCGCACAGCTGGGCAGGTGAGGTGACCTCTAATCTCCTACAGCTCGGTGGGGTGACTGTGGTTCAGAGTGGGTGATGGTGTAACTGGAAAAACAGCCTCTAGAGAGGATTTTGAATGTTCCCAACACAAAGAAATAAAGAATCTTTGAAATGATAAATCACCCTGATCTGATCACGATTCATTGTTACACATAGACTGAAACATCACATTGTACCCTAAAAGTATGTGTCATCTAAATGAATTCTACTCACCCAGCATGGTGGCACTCACCTATCATCCCAGCGGCTCAGGAGGCTGAGGCAGGAGGATCGTGAGTTCCAAGCCAGCCTCAGCAACAGTGAGGTCCTAAGCAACCCAGTGAGACCCTGACTCTAAATATTAAAGTACAAAATTGGGCTGCAGATGTAGCTCAGGGGTTGAGTGCCCCTGAGTTCAGTGCCCAAAACCACTCCCCCCCCAAAAAAAAATACATACTGTTAATCTTGATTATTATGTTTTTAGTGACTCCTCCCTTAAATTCAGAACCTGAGTGAAGTGCCTCATTTACCTCCCCCTCGTCCCAGCCCCGCTGAAACACAAAGCTTACTGTTGTAAAATATCTGAAGTAGAAAAGCTGGTGAGTTACTTCTCATTGGTGGTTGATTCCTTTTATTCTATGAAAAGTGCAACTCA